CAAAAATTATAAACCGGCTATTTAGAGAAATGACCATCAAATGCATGCCATTTCGTGATAATTTTCCATGGATACGTGCTAAGTGCCATATATTATTGTTGAAAATATCTGATTAAATGCAATTGTTTATTTGCAACAGATCATAAAAATAAAATCAAGCGTTGAGAGCCTATCGCGGAAACTGTTTCCTGAGTTAAAGCGTGCGCTATAATTTGCAGTGCTATAGAACCGCCAGACTAATGCAATGAAGAATCAGCAATTGAATCAGACATTTGTGTGGACAATTCTTTATACAATAAAACGAAATCCTCACTCCAAAAAGGCTAGACAGTCTTATGAAAACGTCTAGACTACTATACTATACTTGATAATTACTCAATTTTTAAGCTCATAGCGTCCATACTATTGCGACTTACTGTGCAAGACATAAACTGATTTCATGTAATAACGTAATTTAACACGCTTGTCTATGTCAAAAACCAGTCATACTTCTTTTCATTGAACATTATACCACTCTTTCGTGCCCGTTCAAAATCATAAAGACCACAGTTTAAGGAGGAGTGGGATTTAATATATGGCCTTCGAAAGTTTCAGAATATCTTAGGATATACTGAAAGCAAAAACGTTCGACCAAATCTAATGCAAGTGTCTATCCGCAAAGGAATTAAATGAGTGTGATTAAACATTTTGTTCAAGAAAATGGTGCCTTTAACGAAAATTCGTATACTTTTACATACAGAAAGAACATCCAAAAAGACAAACATGACATGCGTGATACCGAGGCCATTTGGTTAGCACTTTGAGCCAAATTTTCGGGATAAAAACCTGCAATGCAAATGAATAAGATAAATGTGTTTTTCATTGACTGATACCAGAAAATGGTGTTTTTTTCACGAAATTGCATACATTTTATACAGAAATAACGAATCGTCGATTAAAAATGAATATGCCTTGAAGGCCTCTCTAGGGCATTTTTTTCTTAATTTATAGCTTTCTGCTTGATATTGCTGTGAAGAATTCCCAATCTTATGCAGTTGTTAACTACGTAATAAGACAAATGTTATTTATTAATTGGCGTTTTTACAAACATTGATACAATATAAACTAAAAATAACAAATTGACGATCAAAAGACAAAACAAAAAGAAAACATCAATGTCATGTCCACCACCACCCCGAGAAAATTTCCCACGGAGAAGATGCCTTAGAATGCCTTAGATTGCTGTGAAGGACCGGATTCTCCAATCTAATCAGATTCCTTTTTTTTATAAGGAAAATGATAAAGATCGTATAAACGGCTCACAAAATATAGAGTTATTTCACGAAATGTCATTCACTTTATATACAAGGAGACCAGTTTTCGATCAAAACAAACGGCCATGCCATGCAGGCTTTTCGTAATCATTTCCGCCCGAGTGAATATCAAGTTCTTATTTGGATTGGCAATTTTCTTTCTCATATATATCGACTAAAATTAACACCCCATCTGAAACTTTAACTATTTCGAATGATCACGGAGGATCGGTCTTGCATTATTATGAAAAGGAGATTAAGTGATGTGTGACAAAACGCGCGAGTGTGAACACGTTCATACAAGTTCTGAAGCCATGCAAAGTTACCATAAAATGTTGAAGTAATGATCTAGTAGATTGCATTAGCTTAGAGGGTATTCTTTACAGCAAAAGCAGATATAAAGATAAAACGTAAGAAAAATAACAACAATGGTCTGCGTTAAATGTTCGATTTTTGGACGGCCGATTTGTTCTACATTTAAAGAAAATCTGAAAAGCCAAATTTTCTCGATTCAATCATATAAACGTCAATCTTTAAAACACTATTTGACTAATTTCGTTTATGATTCGCTTTCGCATTTGTTTGAAATGTCATATTGACAGCAATATTAGGCCCAAAGCCGTAACAAAAATAATACGTCCTTGCGATTTCAGCGTGTCATGTTCGTTTTTGGACCGTAAAAAGGAACCTCTAAGTAATACAATTTACGTTCTTAAACGAAATCACACAAATGGTGATTCACGACTGACATTAGAAAATGTTGTCTCAGACATGTCAGACCAAAAGTTTTACATTCAATTTCAATGTATAGATAAAGAACGAAATTTGTATAATCGCCGGTTCTAAAAAACAACAATGCTATGCAAATAAATGCAGGCCATATTCCTTGGCCTAGGGCTTTGTGTCTTTAATTACTGTCAGGAAGAACATCCCAACTTATATAATGTTTACTCTTGAACGGAATCACTTAAATAGTGCTTTCACGGTAGGCCTCAGAATACGGTGTTTTATGGTTGCCACGCGGAAAAAGGAATATGGCGTTGAGATTTTCGTGTTGCAACTGTAAAACATAATTTCCAAAATCAATATTTTGAATTGATTTTTCCATCAAAACTGATTTCAAAGTGCTGCAAAGTGTCAATGGCTTCAGAGAGAGTCAAATGCTTTTCAGCGTTGTATACACGTTACCTTAAGGTCGACTTAAGGCCATCCCTCAGCCTGCCTCTCACAAGTCCAAAATCTGGAGCCTTTTAATATATCTATTTGATAGGGGATGGCGCCGAAAACGTGATCACTTTTTCCAAATCATTTCTGAAACTAAAACAAGTGTTTGAAGTCTACATAGGACATTTTGTTTACTATCTGAGGCCTCAATGGGGACGAAAAGGCGTGAAAAAACGTCTATTTGAAGTAATGGGTAAGTTAAGTAAAGAAACAACACCATTTTCTAATGGCAATCGTTTAAATACCATGTGTGTGATTCCGTTAACGATTAATCATTTTCTATGTTTGGAGGTTTTCCTTTTCTGCAAAAGAAGATTTCAGTGTTGCATTGTCGTCATTTTTTGACATGCGATTTGTTCTACCAAAAAAATAAAAAAATAGTGAATAAAAAATCGTGAGAATATGTCCCGGCATTGTCGTTTTCGGGACATTTGCTTACTAAAAGACGGCATAACACTGTCAATATATAGTTATGAGGCATAATGAAAATGTGAAGACCCTACCGCTCTATATATATTTTTACTCGATATTGTTATTGACTTGTACATTAACTAAAAATAAAATCATACATCGTACCGTACTTTCAATAGAAATAAACCTAAAGTAACACATTGAAGCAAAACTATTTACATCATATAGGTTGAAAAAATGACTTTAAACAAAGGATACCTTAACAAAATCTGATAAACAAAGTGTCACATCATAGTTTAAACTAAAGGCCAAGGTCATTTAGACTGTCCAAGAGTTAAATATTCACTGATATGTGCCGTGCGTGTCATTTGGCATTATCTGTCAAGGCTTACAGATTATTTAAAAAAAGTTAAAAATAATGTATCTCACTAAAGAATTCATCTTGTGTGGACCCTTTCTCTATGCATGGGCGCATGATAACAAAAGTGTGGATCAGAGTCCTTCTGTAAACGATACAATAAATAAGCTATTAGACCATGCTAGATATGGTCTACAAGACGTTGGGATTGCGATGCTACTGAAAGAACTCAAAGGTAATTTATTCTATATATATTGTTTAAATAATTGTTTATATTAACAAAACGAATTGCTGTAACCTAAATGATATCTTATGTTGTTTTTACTTGAAATGGATTATTTCTTAAAAATCGAAAATTATAAAATTGTGATTATGTTATGTATACATGCAAAGTGATAATCTTGGTACTTCCTTTAAAGCAGCACGCCTCCAGATTCATGTTATTTTTCCTGAAAAGTTTGAAAATGCATCTGAATATGTAATATTGTGAGGTAACCAAACGGAAGCAATTTACACATGATCAAAAACACTTAAAAACCACGTAAAATACCAAAAAAGTGGTCAGAATATTCATTAATAGCCTTTACCACGTTAGTAACGCAGTAGAATACTGAAAAATCTGTCATTAATCGCATGTAATATGTCATATACTACTTGAATGTTGAAACTTTTTACTTTTCCTTACATCTTAGTACATTTTTCACAAGTTTGATTTTATTGAAATATTTTGACTAATCTGGAGGCATGTTGTTTTAATTCTTTGTCAACTTTTTATAAAGAATGGAAAATGATTAAGAGAAATAAGCATCGTATAGTAAATATTCAATTAAATGAAATAGATAATATATATCAACTACTTAAATTTAAGAGAAGCCAGATCTTACGAAAAGAATGATAAGCACGTGTTGACTCCTCTTGAAATGACAAGCATCTACACACGTTGGGGACGTAGGGCATGTCCTCCTGGTGCATCCCTAGTTTATGAAGGGTTGGTGACACGTAACCTTAAGGTCAAAAATCATTTCTGAAACGAAAAAAAGTGTTTGGAGTCTAAATAAGGCATTTTGTTCACTACTTGAGGGCTCAGGGGGGACAACAAGGCGTGAAAAGACGTCTATATGAAGTAATGGGTTAATTAAGTAAAGAAACAACACCATTTTCTAATGACAAACGTTTAAATACTATTTGTGTGATTCCGTTAAGGATTAATCGTCCCCTAGGTTTGGAGGTTTTCCTTTTCTGCAAAAGAAGATTTCGGTGTTGCATTGTCGTGCTTTTTGGACATGCCATTTGTTCTTTCTGAAAAAAATAGTAAACAAAAAATCGTGAAAAACACAATTTACTGAGGCCAACCGTTTCAACACTATGTGCGTGATTCCCTTTCTAGATTAGAAATTGCATTAGCTTGGAGTACGTCCTTACAGTTATGTAAAACATAAAGCTGTAGACCATGGAATATGTCCCTGAGATTTCTGCAAGGCATTGTCTTTTTCAGGATGTTTGCTTAATAAAATACGGCATTACACTGTCAATAAATATGAGGCATAACTGAATTGTGAAGACCCACCAGCTCTCAATATATATATTTAATTGTTATTGTTATTGACTTGTGTATTAACTTCAAATAAAATCATACATCGTACCGTACTTTCAATACAGATAAACCTAAAGTAACACATTGAAGCAAAACGATTTACATCAGATAGGTTGAAAAAAACGACTTTAAACAAAGGATACCTTGACAAAATCTGATAAACAAAGTGCCACATCATAGTTTAAACTAAAGGTGGAGTATATTTAGACTGTCCAAGATATTATATATATACCGATATGTGCCGTGCGTGTCATTTGGGATTATCTGTCAATGCTTACAGATTACAATAAAAAGTTAAAAGTAATGAATTTCACTAAAGTATTCATCTTGTGTGGACTCTATCTCTGTGCATGGACGCATGATAACAAAACTGTAGATCAGAATCCTTCCGCAGGCAATACAATAAATAAGCTATTAGACCATGCTAGATATGATCTTCAAGATGCAGGAATCGCGATGCTACTGAAAGAACTCAAAGGTAGATTTTAAATATATTCTCGATATTAAATGATTATACTCACAAAACGAATTGCTGTAATATAAATACTATTTTATGTTGCTTTTACTTGAAATGATAAGTAAGTTAAATACTTGTCGACAAAAGCATCATGTTATCTGTTACGATGCATTTTATTTCTTTTAATTTGATAAGTACACACAAGTGATTATTTGTATAAATGCACACTGATAATCTTTTAATTTTAATTAATTGTAGTATTATATTTTAATCAGCATCCCAATTATTTTTCAATTGTATACAACAAATATGAAATAAGAAGTAATCACCGCACAGTAAATGTTAAATTTAACAAATGGAAAAAATATACTGAAAATATGTAATAAAATGTTTTATATTTAACAGATGCCAGAACTTACGAAAAAAATGGTAAGCACGTGTCTACCCCTCTTGAAATTACAAGCATTTACACACGTTGGGGACGTAGGACATGTCCTGCTGGTGCATCCTTAGTTTATGAAGGATTTGCAGCTGGGGGAGAACACCAGTCAACTGGGGCAGCTGCAAATTATTTATGTCTTCCAAGTAATCCAGACTGGGATAATAAGAGCCATAACCCTAAGTACACAAGCTTGATACATGGAGTAGAATATGAAACCCAGCAAAGCTTGTTGCACGAACTTCACGATCAAGACGTTCCCTGTGCTATTTGTCAAGTCTCAAGCGGCAGTGTTGTGATGGTACCCGGAAAGAATACCTGTTTCAAAAACTTTGTTAAAGAATACAACGGTTATCTTATGGCTGGACTTCCTATTCATAGGGCAGCTTCTGAGTATGTTTGTGTTGATGGTGAACCTGAACCAGCCAACAAATCTCTTGCTCAGAATCACAATGGAAAATTGTTTTATTTTGTTCGAGCAAAATGTGGCTCACTCAAATGTCCTCCATATAAAGAAGGTGACGACCTTACATGTGTCGTTTGTTCTTATTCTCCTTGACGTACATTTAATTTGTTCTCCATATATCTAATTGCAACATCGTTTACAATTATAATAATTTGTCAAAGAAAATATAAATTATTTTCACAAAAAAATTGTTTCTGTGGTTTGTACACTGTCTTTGTTTTGAAGTGGAGACAGCAAAATTTTAATGATATTTTTACTAAGTCTAATGGGATGTTTACTTCTGCATGTTGTTGCAAGAACATTTATATTTGATATCAGAAATTGAAACATGTTCTCGCCCTTCATTTGTGTTTTTTTTTTGTTTATTATTTGAAATATAAAACGCTAAATAACGATTAATTTAATACATTTAAACAGTAGTTTTGTTCTTACTTAAGACTTGCAACGTAACGGTACTAAGCTTTCTTCGAAATAGATCGCGAAAATGCATGGTATCTTAAATACCAGAATTTTCTATTTGAACAATTTATGTTGTTACTTTATCATTAAAATCTTAACAGCGTTTCAAACATGTCTTGTTATTTTATCTCTTTCATTACCAGTTACATAATTTGGCTGCGAAACAGTCGATTATTTTCAGAATTTGAATGAGGCATGATTTACTGCGGAATTACACGATCATTTTTGCGAGTATTCAATAAAAACAAAAGTATATCAAACACTCATATTCACCAATTTTACACGTTTTGAAATTTGTTGCTGTGTTGAAATTATTTTTATACACTTTCTTCAAATGGAATGACAATGTTTTCAAGACTCCAGATACAAATAATCGATTGTGCAACTGTCTCTGGTTTACAGAGGCCATATATTGCGGAGCCAGGCTAAAATTAAATCATGCATAAACACGTTTTAGCTATAAATAAAGTTTGAATTTTTACTTTATAAACTAGGAAACAAATTTGTTTTGAAGAAGTTAAATATTTTTTTCTATTTTTCTTTCTTTTGAGATGATTTGTGTAGTTCTGTGCGGCTTCCAACATTTTAGAAACCGCCTTTTATATTATATCGCAAAACAATGTCATACGTGTTTATTTTGGTAAGATTTGGTAACGGGTTTGACGCCGTTAATGACTTATACATGTACTCATGTACTTTGTTCTCACATTTTATTTCATTCTTTCTTTATTAGTTGGTCATTTGCTAATAAATATTAAAATTTGAGCTATCGTTTTGGACAACATTTTAAAACAAAAATGTTATCAACTGTGCGTATGAAGTGACGATATCTATTTTAACTAATACTGAAGGAACATGAAAACATTCAATAATATACAATTATGGACTACTATCGCCTCGGTCAATATGTCATCTGCCGGTGAATATTACATCATATTCAATGGATCACTAGTAAAAAATTGTTATGTCATATGAATAAGCTAAGAATTTAAAAAAATTACAAAAATATATTGACTCGTTGAAGCGCGAGATAAAAGACGCCAGGCGTTCAGCGAATACGCGAACGCTACGCATACAAAAGTAATCAAAGTTTATACTCATCATTGTGTTTAACTTAGAAATAAATAGTAAAATAGTAAGATAGTGATATTTTAATCAAGAAATATATCATTAAGAACAGAAAACTGCAATTATTAATTTGAGAAGCACGCGCAATAAACGGTAATTGAATATGAATCTCGATCTATTTTAGACTGAGAAAATCCAATTCAGCCAGTGAATATGATACTACACCCAGAACATATGATTTTATAAAAGGTTTAATTGACTACGGTTTGGACTAATGAGATAGCAGCTATATTAAGGTCATATGATAAAAATCATTAATCAATCTTAAGACCAATGTTTGAATAATCTAAGTGAAAATACCAATCAAAATATAAATACAAAATATACCGCTTAATCTTAATCTTAAAAGGCAATAAGCTATGTTTTATATAAATATACTCAACTAATGGATATTCGACAAATGAATGAGCTAATATTAACGACCGCCGCTTTAAGGTATTTAAATTAACAGATAACATATAATAATGTCATTTGCATAGTAATTGATCTTAATGTTTCCCTAAATCCTTTTTACAATAGCCATACATATATAATGCTAACAAATAAATGTTTCGAATACATAACTACGTACAAGATCCTGACATCAAAGATTCGCATAGCAAATCAGTTATCTCCAATCATTATTCTGCGTGGTTGTCAATTGTATTGTGTCTCATAATTGATTTTTTTTTTTTTTTTAATTTCTTTAAAATGATTCTATTTCATGATTCGTATTTATTATATATCAATGTGAATCTAAATAATGAACATTGTATCTTTAATCTTCTAAATGTATACTCCCTTTCTTTAATGTTTGCAAATATTCTAAACTTAACTATTGCATTTCATAAAAACTTATTTGCCAGCTCAATATATTCGGATTATGATACACTGTATACATAAGTAAAAACGCTAGAAACACCCTTATCCAAATGGCCGTATCAAGCCACAATCGGAAACGGTAAGTTCTTGTTAAAATGCTAAAATGATTTTAAAATGTTTCATTATATTTATTTAGTATATAATACTTCATTAAGGTTTGCATGACTGTTATAATGTAAATGAATCTGTTGATATTCCGTTATTAAGCACAGTCTGAACAACAAGCGAAACATGAACAAATATATCGTTCAGTATCAAATTTGAATTAGGTATTATTTCTAGGTAAATATTGTAGGACAAACTACGCTTACCTTTGGATAAATTTCCGGTTAGGAAAATATAGCCGTCTGTAATCCATGTGCACTTATATTGATGATGCACCTATTTTTGTCAAAATATTCTTTTGGATGAGACCGTAAAAGCTAAGGCCCAATGTAGATGGCTCATAAAAAAAGAAAATAGGAATCCCTATAGCAAGGCCAAAACAACAAAATTGAAAATGTTTTTTAAGGTTTGAAAAGCCATTTGAAACTGTTGTATTATGAACTATCACCTAATTTTCAATGACTTTTAAGGGTTGTCGGAATATTAGCAATTGAAATGTGAATATACCGAAAAACAATGTCTCAACCATTCCCTTTATAACCTTTTGATAAGTCATAACGAGAAATGTTGATCCATTGCGTATTTCTATAGTCATACAGTCACAGAGAAATAATAACGAAACAGAAAAGAAAGTTTCCCTTACGGTTTCATGAAAGGTTGACGAGATAAAGAAAATGCAAAATCATGAATTTGGTTACTGAGTTTTCGAAAATAAAATTTTGAATGTACTTTATATGATATGTAAATGCAACATCCGGTAATCTATTAACACATTTTTCATTTGAGAGTGAATACAATAAGTCAGACTACCTCACTATAAAGATCATTTTTTGTTAAAACCACAAACGATCTGACTGGCGCTGTTTCCCCTACTTTTCTCGTAGGTGTTGTTATTTTTCTTGTCGGTGGGTATAATGTATTGTTAAAATAAATCGAACTCGCTTAAACCGGTGCCGGGGACGTGAGTGATGTTGCATTTTTCAATAACCCCTCACAGAGAGACCAAACCGAGTAAACAATATGCATGTTTTCTTTTTATTCATTACTTTCGAGAGTTTTCCCTTTTCTAGATTTTGTTTGCTGTACTTTTAATTCAAACTTAAATACTTTTATGTACTTAGAATTTGTTTACGAATGTGTAAAAAGTTACGTTAAAATGCGGATAAAAACTTGATAAAATCAAGTTTTATAACCGTGGATAGACGGGTTCAAATATTGTGTTATCAACCCTGGTATAAGGCCGCAAGAATTACTAAAATACATTCAATTTGGTTGGAAGTAACAAGAGCTTGTTATCGCAATACATGGTCCACACTGACTGGCATAGGTTTTCAAGATACGTTACAGTGATATCGTCTATACATGTGCACTATGTTCTAGTTATATGTGCCATTCGAGTAAAAACAAAAGTGGACATTTGTGTCTTAGGATAGTATAGATATCTTATATCCACTGCAACAGTGTACATAAATACACCACATTAAATAATCGAGTGGACTCTACAAATTTAGACACCCTGCCGTGAAATCATACTTCTTACTTATAAGTTCTTTCAGGTGAAGTCCATACACCGTCAACAGCGTCATTCTGACCTTCGGGTTGTCAAACTTAATAAAGTCTTCCAATGAACAATCTACAATTTACTTGAAATCGACCATGTAACTCTATAAATGTTGGAAGATTTAATATTAGAAAGGGTATTATAAATACTTTTACTTTTAACTTTATTTTGTAGTGTAAGTTGAACCGAAAAACGATATAAGGTAAGTCCATGAGTACTTTTTATTATAATGATTTTACGGACTAAGAAAATTAAAAAAGAAAGAAAAGAATAAACAAGTGATAATCGAAGAAATACACGACATTCTATCATCTTTTATTAACGTTATATCCGGCATATTTTTGACTTACATATTAGAGTGTGTATAAACTGAGGAAGAAAATTGTTGATGAAATATATTATGCTTAATCACCAACAAGAGAAATAATACTATGCGGGTTGTGGTTCCATTATTATATGCATTCCTGAACTATTTATTTTTCATTTATTTTAAGCAAAAAAGGTAAGTGCTGCTACTTAACTCGCCCATGCACAAACAATTCCCTTTAAAAACTCAGATTTATGGATTTTAATGTCATTGATGTTATTTCCGATTGTATGATACCAAGCAGTTTTTTCCCTTTCAGAGCTTTATTACATTACATTTCTTGTTTATAGATTCTAAGGAGAATATGAACACACAGCACACGTGATCTGTTTCCCCGATTCATAAGGCCGACATTTTAATGCGCCACATGCCGCTTCAACAAAGTAAAACAACGACCCGTCGTGATCTGCTGAGCTTGAATATTTGTCAGCATGTGAACTACCGTCAAAGCAGACAAACTCGGTAGCTGCGTCATGTCCATAATGACCAGCCATTAGGTAACCTCCGTACTCTAACTTGAAGTTGTCTGGACAATCGTTTCGTCCAGGATGCATGATGATACTTGAACGCGGAACATGACAAACGGCACACGGGATATCATGATTGTGTAAGTTGTTCCAAATACTGTTTAAAGTTCCATATTCCGCTCCATATATCAATGTTGACCACTTCGGCTTTTTCGAATAGTAGTGATATTTTGGTTTTTTAGATAAACATATATGATTAGCTGCTGCTCCATCGTGGTACGAATGAGATCCAGCAGTAAATCCATCGTAAACAGTCGTAGCCCCACTTGGACATGAAGATCTTCCCCATCTTATATACAGTGTCCGTTGCTTGCCTCGTGCTAACACGTTCCAACTTTTCTTTTATCTCTGAATTAAGATTTTTATATTAAGAGTTCTAATGTATGTACTTCAATGATTTTATAAAATAAAACATTGCCTTATTTAAATTTTTGTCAACAATTTTATTTACATATTAATTATTTCGCACTAGTAGGAATTATATCCGACGAAAATATGTTATCATAATAATGATAATGTTCCGTTAAAACAATTATCTTTTCGAAGGTAGATTTACCGAAGTAGACAAATAGTTATAGCTTATGCTTACAGAGCGACCAAAAAGGGCAGTCTACTAAATTTCTCGTCATTTTGCTCAAACATTTGCAAATATATGTACAATCATGCTATAGGGACGCATGGGTTATCCTTCACAGAAAAATACAACTAATATACTTGATAATATTGACCACAAAATAAACAAATAAATAAAAAAAAACAGGATAAAATATTAAACGAAGACAGAAGAAATTAATAAAAAATGCAATAAGTAAAAATATATAAAACCTTTCAGCTCATTTCTTAAAGATGCCACACTTCCTTCGCAGTCAATCAGCATTTGCAAAACCTTTGTGTCATCATTCATAATGTCATTTTGAATGTTGGCTGACATAACGGTTACCACAGTTATCATTATAAATCCTAACCACAACATTGTTACGAAAACATAAAACGAAGACTACTAAATCTCAGTGGTGCAACTGGTTTATATAGAGAGTGATTATGTTACATATAAATTTTAAAGATTTCGTGTCGGCCAATACAGGTTTAGGCAATTAAAAGGCAGAATGAGATAATGATAATATGTTTTAAATTTAAAGACGTTAGGCAAACATGGGAAGAGTATCATCATATGATAGACCATTTGTATAGACAAAAATAATTTGTAACAGAGTTACCAACGTCCCCCGCCTCGGGAAGTTTTAGATGAAGCATAAAATTGTGCTATTTCAAAAGATTGAGATATGGATCTCAGGACATTCAGTCCAAAATTATGATCAATGCTATATCTGCAAATGCAACAATAAATTTGTTAAAAAGATAAAATGAAACACAGAATTTAAAAATCTATCATGTTAAACTTTAACCTCTAAGTGTGACCTTGACCTTGGAGGTAGGGAGACAGGTGTTGTGCATGACATAACGTCTTATTATTGAGACTAGTTGTGCCAATTATTTTCAAAATCCCTTGAACTATGAAGAAGTTATAGATTGGACACAAAATATACCCTATAGCAGACTTTGTAAATCTTTGACCTCTAAGTGTGACCTTGACCTTGGAGGTATGGACACAAATGGTATCCATGACATATTATCTTATCATTGTGACTATTTGTGCCAAGTATTTTCAAAATCCCTTAATCTTTAAAGAAGTAATGGACGGGACATAAAATATACCAAATAACAGACTCTGTTAACCTTTGACCTCTAAGGGTGACCTTGACCTTGGAGGTAAGGGTCTGGTTTTTGCGCATGACACATCGTCTTATTATAATAAACATTTGTGCCAAGTTATTTCAAATTCCTTTCATAAATATCAAAGTTATGGACCGGACATGAAAGTGTGACGTACGGAAGGACGGACAGACGGACAGAGCCTATTTCTATATCCCACTTTTTTCTTCGAAAAGGCCGGGGACAATAACAGACTCTGTTAACCTTTGACCTCTAAGTGTGATCTTGACGTTGGAGGTAGGGGTACAGGTTTTGTACTTTAAATGTCGGCTTATTATTGTGACTATTTGTGCCAAGTTATTTCAAAATCCCTTGAACTCACAGGCAATCGATGCGTGGCTTGGATAGTATACATGTACTTGACCACGCCCACTTATTTTTTTTTTTTTTTTTTTTTTTCACTAATAAAATATATGTTCATTCAAAATATTTATAAAACATCTTATTTTCAATAAAACAACAAAGGAAAATTGTTTTTAAAATTTTTTTCCATATATACTATAAATATAGTAAAGGTAGAAAGGTTCGCCAGCGGAACTACCACCAGGCCTTATTGTATCTCACAGATCTTTGTTAATTGTCAACCAATTTTCACCAAATAAAGTGCAATCTACTCAGAAATGATGCCTCTTTCGAAAAATGTACAATATTAGACCAGTTGGTACGAAAAAAGACGGAATTTTAAAGCGATAATGCACTTTTTGTCTAGGTCGGACATCGCATGACCGAGCCGTAAGAAGGCGATTTTGAACATAAATCGATCTTTTTCCTAATAACAAACTAATGTCAGTGCATGCAAACAGTTGAAACAGATAAGGCAGATATAATACTATCGCTTACAGGTCCAAATTTAACCTAACACGTCGATAGGGAGGCACATTCAGTAGTTTTTTGCACAAACTTCTGAACTTTCCCGATATTTCATCCATTTCATGTACATAAATTGTGACCCGGATATACTTCACGCGCATGCTCTTTAGCGACGACACAGTTTCTATAATTAGAAACGGAAAAATCCCCTGGTGCCCAGCTTCGTAGTAATAAAACTTCAGGAGACCGGTTTCAAGCAATTAAAAAAAGTAAACATGACAGACGAAAATCGTAACGTGAAACTTAATAAACTGCAGGATTTTGCCGTTAATCGGATTTTGCAGGGGCATAATGTTGTTTTACAGGGCGCAGCGGGCACAGGAAAGTCGTATGTTATTAAGCACTGCGTTGATGTATTCAAACAAAGAAACATATCTGCATATGTAACTGCTACAACCGGCATTGCTTGCTGCATGTATAAAAATGCCATGACAATTCACAAATGGTCGGGTATAGGAGACGGGCGTTTCGAATTGAACCAAATACGAAGTATTGTTGACCATAATGTAAAGTTTCAGGATGTGAAAAATAGAATCATGTGTACAGATGTCCTTTTCATTGACGAATGCTCAATGATGAGTGCTCAATTTCTAGAATGTTTAAATGAAGTGTGTAAAATAAAAAACAGTGAAAAGCCATTTGGAGGAATTCAAGTAGTGCTAACGGGTGATTTTCTGCAGCTGCCCCCTGTCCCTAATTATATGTACAATGACAGTGGATTGTTCTGTTTTGAAAGTAAAATATTTACTAGTCTTTTTTCCCACAAAATAACATTGAAAGAAGTAGTTAGACAGAAAGATGCTACATTTATTGACATCATACAGCAAGTTTCTGTAGGAAATGTTACAGATGAAGCAGAAAGATTTCTGCAGGGGCTATCTCGACCTTTGTCGTCCACTTCCAATAGTGTGAAACTGTTTTCAATGAATAAACAGGTTGACTCATACAATTGTGACTGTATATTAAAAGCTAAGGGTGAGAGTATTGCTGAAGATGAAGGTGAAAGAAAACATTTAAGCAAAGTATTGACACCACGCATATTATGGTTAAAAGTCGATGTACCTGTGATTCTTTTAAAGAACTTGTCTGACAACTTTGTAAGTGGACTAAGAGAAGAAGAAACTGGTATAAGTAATTCAAAGCCAGTTATAACCTTTCCAACCATACAGAAAACAATACCACTGGACAAAGCTTCATTTACAGGTAAAAAAATGCTTAAAGGCACATAATGCCTAAGATATCATTATTTTTTCTTTTTTAATTATTTGTAAACATGTTTAACTATTTTTAAGTAATTGATTTCGAGCATGTTGGAAGACTTAAAAAAATCACTGTAATTATATGAATTACATGTACTAACAGAGCCATAGTGAAAAAAGGTAGCCCCTGTATAATAAAATTTTAAAGGTGTAATTCTTTTAAAACTGTTACAAGATACCAAAAATATGTCTGAAGATGTTTTATCAATAAAAATAACATGTGCATGTACACATAACATATATTGTTTAAATTTCTTTTTTCAAAAGACAAATATTTTCATCCATTTCTCCAACTTATTAGTTATATATTAAATGAAACCTGTTTGTACATATTAAATCGAATAAAGCAATTAAAGTACTTTTTTTCTATTATAGTGTTTGACCCTCGCCAGAATCGGGATATAGCATTGAGACGGCAGTTCCCAATAAAGTTAGCATATGGTATAACTATACATAAGGCACAAGGAATGACTATTGAAAGGTATTTCAAAAACCAAAAAAAAAATTAAACTTTTGATTTATATACAGTACATGTATATAAAATAATTGTGCTGAATTGTTTTGTTTGATTTTACAACTGACCATCTAGTTTGCGGTTTTATGGGCTATAGAAAAGGCATCCAGAATCATAAAAATACTTTCTATATTGTTCAATGCAATGTTTAATTAAAATAATTAAATCTAAGGTACAGTAAAAAATAAGCAGCGTAGAATATGAGAATAAGTTCTTAAAATATGAATGCAAATCAAATACATGTACTTTGAAAAATGGGTTAACAGAAATATGAATACTGTTTTTAGCTTGACTATAGGAAATATTATGGAGAGCTGTCTGCTACCCTGGTGTCCACATTTGGATTTCCTATTAAAGTTTTTGTGCAGTATTTTTTTAATTTTATTTCTTAAGGTATCAACTTCAAATATAGGTTCCTCATCATCAGCCACATCATATGTGATAATGTTAATGACTGTTGAATTAATATTTTCAGAATTATCACCCCATGAACTTTGATTTTTCCCTAAAAGATTTTTTCTGGAAAAAAAAGTTATTATTTAATATAACTTTTTTTGTTTCTTAAGGCATTTACTTCAGACTTCAAATATATGTCATCAACCACATCATATGTGACTAAGTTATTTTTAGTTTCAGTATTATACACAGTATAATAAATATGACAGCTTCATGTCCAGATTTAAGAGCAGTAAAAAAAAATTTAATATAACTTATTAATTCTAATCAACAACATCTCATGTGATAAGGTTCATAACTCTAGAAGCAATATTTTCAGAACAATAGTCAATAATCTTCCCTTGAACTTTCCTTCTAAACTATAATGTTTTAATCTGTTTATATTTAAAGGCACATTATGCCTCAAAAATGTTTTTATTTTTATTTCTCAAAAACTTTAAATATATTATTTGGTGTCTTTTTACAGTTTACACAAAAATACTTCTTTGCCATATAGATAAACAGTCTTTGCATGTTTGCTTTGCTGGCAATTGGTATAGTAATAGTGAATTAGTATTTTGTATGGAAATCAAAATACTGTTTGTTTATTGTTTACATTTTGCTATCTTTAAGACACATTACTGCACATTAAGCACTTCTTTAATCAGCTGTTAAATATCCTACACGTTCTAAATCCATTATTAAAACATTATTAAACACGGGTTTTACATTTCTAAAGAATTAAATAAATATTGATTTCTGAGGCATTATGTGCCTTTAAGGAATCAACTTCAAATATATGTTCCTTTATACCATCAACAACAAATTATGTGATGAGGTTTTTTCTGTATCTTATTTATTTTTCATGGATGTTTAACAATAAGAAATATTACTTTCTCTAGACTTTTGTTACTTAATGTAATAATTTTTTTAACATTTCAGTTTGGAGGTTGATTGCAGAGGAATCTTTAAACCAGGTCAACTTGGAGTAGCTCTTGGGAGAGCCTGCACTTCTGAAGGACTACGGGTTATCAACTTCAAAAAGAAAGTTTGCATAAAACAGCCAGCCATTGTACTAAAGTTTCTTCAAGAAGAGTCTTCTGAATTCCTACAAGACACAAGTTGCTGCAGGACAAAAAGGTATATAAAAATAAAACAAATTAACATACCATCAGTAGAAGATTATGGATGGCTGGTTTTACTTGTCTGAAGTATTAAATCCTTCACTTCTTGTTGGTCACTATTGAGGATAACATGTATAAAGTCTTGGTGCACAATTTTTGGCCGGGTTGCACAGGTGCAAACCGGATTATAGTATGGTGAAGTGTGCTGTTTGCGGAAAAACAGTCTTGATAATTTGTATACAGCATAAACATGTGGTCCCATATGGTATAATTTGATTTCAGATCTGTTGCTCATCCACTTCCTGTTTACCAACTAAGTTAAATTTTCAACATTAATGGTCAAGGTAGTACATTTTGGTGTTAAATTTCCAACATTAATGGTCAATGGTAGAACATTTTGTAACAGTTTTCTCAACAAATACTTATCACAGCCTCATGATATTTGGTACACAGCATTAACACATGGTCCCATACAATGGGATTCGATTTATCCACTTCCTGTTTACTGACTTTGTTAAATTTTCAACAATAATGGGGAATGGTAGGAAATTTTTGAAACAGTTTTCTCAGCAACTACTTATCACAGTCTCTTGATATTTGGTATACAGCATTAACACATGGTCCCATACAATGGGATTCGATTTATCCACTTCCTGTTTACTGACTTTGTTAAATTTTCAACAATAATGGGGAATGGTAGGAAATTTTTGTAACAGTTTTCTCAGCAACTACTTATCACAGCCTCTTGATATTTGGTATACAGCATTTACACATGGTCCCATACAATGGGATTCGATTTATCCACTTCCTGATTACTGACTTTGTTAAATTTTTAACAATAATGGGGAATGGTAGGAAATTTTTGAAACAGTTTTCTCAGCAACTACTTATCACAGTCTCATGATATTTGGTATACAGCATTAACACATGGTCCCATACAATGGGATTCGATTTATCCACTTCCTGTTCACTGACTTTGTTAAATTTTTAACAATAATGGGGAATGGTAGGAAATTTTTGTAACGGTTTTCTCAGCAACTACTTATCACAGTTTCTTGATATTTGGTATACAGCATTAACACATGGTCCCATACAATGGGATTCTATTTATCCACTTCCTGTTTACTGACTTTGTTAAATTTTTAACAATAATGGGGAATGGTAGGAAATTTTTGTAACAGTTTTTTTCTCAGCAACTACTTATCACAGTTTCTTGATATTTGGTATACAGCATTAACACATGGTCCCATACAATGGGATTCTATTTATCCACTTCCTGTTTACTGACTTTGTTAAATTTTCAACAATAATGGGGAATGGTAGGAAATTTTTGTAACAGTTTTCTCAGCAACTACTTATCACAGTCTCTTGATATTTGGTATACAGCATTTACACATGGTCCCATACAATGGGATTCGATTTCTCCACTTCCTGTTCACTGACTTTGTTAAATTTTCAACAATAATGGGGAATGGTAGGAAATTTTTGTAACAGTTTTCTCAGCAACTACTTATCACAGTCTCTTGATATTTGGCATACAGCATTAATACATGGTCCCATAGGGTGGGATTCGATTTCAGGTCTGTCGCTCATCCACTTCATGTTTATTGATTTAGTTAAATTTTCAACATTAATGATAAATGGCAGGAAATTAGTGTAACAGTTTTCTCAGCAACTACTTATCACAGTCTCTTGATATTTGGCATACAGCATTAACACATGGTCCCATAGGGTGGGATTCGATTTCAGGTCTGTTGCTCATCCACTTCATGTTTATTGATTTAGTTAAATTTTCAACATTAATGATCAATGGCAGGAAATTAGTGTAACAGTTTTCTCAGCAACTACTTATCACAGTCTCTTGATATTTGGCATACAGCATGAATACATGGTCCCATAGGATGGGATTCGATTTCAGGTCTGTCGCTCATCCACTTCATGTTTATTGATTTAGTTAAATTTTCAACATTAATGATCAATGGCAGGAAATTAGTGTAACAGTTTTCTCAGCAACTACTTATCACAGTCTCTTGATATTTGGCATACAGCATTAATACATGGTCCCATAGGGTGGGATTCGATTTCAGGTCTGTCGCTCATCCACTTCATGTTTATTGACAGAGTTAAATTTTCAACATTAATGTAAATGATCAATGGCAGGTAATTAGTGTAACGGTCTTCTCAGCAACTTCTTATCACTTTATTCAAAAGTGACCTTGTTCATTATAACCTGATGACTTTAACTCTGTCTTTGTCATTGGATTCAATGTTCAGTTTCCTTTTTTGATTGGTCACTTTACTTTTACAGTCATATGTTTTAGCACTATCTCTGATGGCACCTGCATTGGCTTTGATTGACTTTGTTTTTTGGCCTATGATAATGCTGTTTAATGCTGTTCTGTACTGCAGAGCATTTGGATTTGCATTTGCTCCATGGTATGTAGAACGTTGTTGGTTGAAAGTATTTTCTACTATGTCGGAATTAACTAGAGCAGGAGTGATAAATAATGTTTTTGATGTCTTAAAAAAGTGTGAGCAAAACTGGACAAATCCACGTGTACATGAGAGAATGTCTTCATGGCATTGGATTGACATTGTTGGTACCTTACATTTAGGAGATTTTTTTACTTGTTCCCATGCCTCAAACCAGTTTGCAACTTTAAGTAATCATGCCAGCCGTGGGTCGTTTGATGATTTGATTGGTCTGAAATCTCTGAAAATGTCCACAAGTTTTGCAGTTTGCTGCAAGAATTCAATGGCTCCATTCAAACTGCTGCCTTTTTCACCAAGAGACATTTGAAACTGTTCCATTAGATTTAACATTTCCTTGTCCAAAACTTGTTCTGCCAAATGGTTCCTCATTTTAGATTGATTTGATGGAAAGAGATGTTCATTTGTCAACTTGTTGTGAATGTTTAAAGCATTGTTATTATCCCATTTGTAGGCATCAATGAACATAGTCCAGATAACTGTTGGGCCAGATGGCAGTGTAAGTAATCTGGTGTGAGTGCCTTCTTGTCCACTTTTTATTACATTATTTCTCACCTTTTTGATAACATGAGAAGGGTCCATAATAAAAGTCATAGGTTGGAATGAGCAAGGACTAATTGTTGTGAAATTCTTGTTGTCATTGATATGCATTTTCATGAAGGTTCTGTTGGACTGTGCACCATCCATGCATGTGTATGTTGCATTAAAGCCAAACACTCTTAATCTGTCTACAGCTTCCCAAAATATTGAATAAAGTTGAGGGGCCTGAACACCATCTGACACAAAGTGGGCAAAAGGGAAGCGAAACCCTGTCACACCGAGAAACACCAGTTGTAACACATGACTTCCCAGTTTATGTTCATTTGTGGCATTTCGCAACACTTGGCAAGCATAGCCCTCCTGGCCTATATTAATGAGTCCAGCCAACTCAACAACATCACCATTTTTACATATCTGAATGTCACTTTGTATGGCCATTTCATCTAAGATTATTCCGCCAGTGTATGCATCTAATGGTAGCTTTCTTCGTTTTGCCTCTTCTGACATCCATTGAAATATATCATAGTCAAACCCTGGGTTTTGTTTAACTTTAATTTTATATTGAAGAAGAATTGTCTTCGAGGGTAATATTAAATTTTTTGACTGTCTAAATTCTTCATATGATTGAGGGCTCCTGCAGTACCACTTCAAGCAAACATTTATTACTGCTTGAGACCACCTTCTACCACATGGTTTTTTCACAGAGTTAATAACTTGATGCTGTATAAGTTCTGCCATTTCAATTGATGCCCCAGGAAATAATTTTAAGATGTCATCAATTGATACTGATTTTTTGGTTGCAATGACTTCAGTTCTTGTTTTATTTTCTTTTTCTTCATCAATGCATTCTTTGGGTTCAGTTCCTATTGTCATTTTCCTGCATTTAATGCACATCCCTGAGGTGTTGATAAGGGTGGTAACTTTGTTGCAGAGAATGGACCTCAGTATTCTGCTATTTCCCCCTGCACTGTTCAAGGTCTCCATTACATGGTATCTGCTGCAGGTTACATTTTGTGTGACCTTTACACCTTCACACATTGGTATGCACTTTACAGACTGTATAACTGTTCTGATGCTTTCCTCGTCAACTGTGAACTTTTTATCCACCATTAAATTAACAAGGTTAATATCCTTTCCGCTAATTTTCAGTTTCCATTCCCCATTATTGTGAAATTCTACTTCTTTCCAAATATTATTTCCATTGCTTTTATATGCACTTTCAATTGAACAAATTACACTGCTGTGTGAGTGTTGTGTAACAAGCATTTCTTCTTTATTCAAGATGGCTCTCAAATTTTTGAAATCACTGTCACCAAGCTGAGTATTATGCCTTTTGATGTCTCCTAGAAGTTTTAGGCGCAGTCCTTTGTAATACGTATCTGTACTACTCTTATGTGTCCTTCTGTCTCTCAACGCAGTTGGAAACACATATCCTAAGAACATTCCAAATGTTTTCTTTGGGCATGGGCTGTCAAGATTTTCTGTTGCTTCAAATTTATAAGCATCATATATGGCAGTGAAGTTTATGGAACCACCTGGGTCTTCTGTCAGTCGTGACACAAGCCTGTAATAGTTCAGATATAAATGTTATATAAGGTTTCATTATCATCTGTCAGATTATTTTGATATTTTCCATGTTTATTCTATAAGAATAAATTCACAATATGAATACTGTATGTATAATTAGTTCTCAACTTCTACAAATGTTTGCAATTATTTCTCTATAGTGATAAAAATATTCATATTTATTCATTTTGAAAGAAAGTAGTTTAAAGTGCAAGATTCTGATTAAACATGGTTTTTTAAAAGTCATGATATTTTCAAAATACAAATTATTGTAGCTGTTAGTATTAAAATAGGACAAAACCAGTAAGTTAATGTAATATGATACATTTAACCGGCCTAATTTAGATGATACATGTATGTCCAAAAGGTCCGAGAAAAAACATAGTTTGTGCAATGAAATTTTATAATTCTCCAATTATCAGTTTTAAAAATGAAACAACTCAATTTTTTGCAAGCCACTATTTCTAGACATTTTCATGCAAATCTTAGATTGTTAGTTACCATATTGTTTCCATTTAATCTTCTCTCCCCCCCCACCCACCCACTCACTAGGCTTGTTTTTTTTCAAAATGGGAGCACTTATTGGAACAATAAAAATTGAAGTTTAAATATGTTTATTAAAGATATGTTATTAATTCAATTAATAAAAATTATTTTTATGAATTAAAATATGATACGCGATATTTTTAGTGATTTTACATATCTGGAGTGTCTTTTTTGTTATGTTTTTTTAATAGAAATATTTGGATTTCTTTTACTGGTCTTTCATAAAGGATCATAAATCTATAAGGTTATAATATTTCTTTTATTAAATGTGGTGAGGGCACTAATTTCAGAAGGAGTGTGTGAAATGGAAACAATATGGTATGTTAAAAATACAATGAAAAAAAGAAATATCATATATGATTGAATTAAAGATGGCCTGTCAAGTGTATAAATACTTGCTACATATAATTTGAATTATCCTAAATTTGTATGTAAGTAACTAATTGCTTAAAGATACACTATGCTCATCCTTTAATTAAATATTTAAATCACATAAATTTATTGAAATGTATGAATATGACTTACTTGGATAAAAAGAGGTATAAACAATGTATGGGAAGGTGCATTCCTTATTAAAGGAAGTTGGTATTTTT